AAGTGCCTCCATGAAGGGTTTAAACTACACGACAAATGGCAGGGAGCGGCCAAATGTTATTCAGGGGCAGATTAGTCATTTTGATACTGTTTAATTACTGGATTCCGAGAGGGCCTAATTTTGTGCATGGGATGAGAGCGACCTTGTGGTGGTTAGAGATGGGGGTGATGGGTACCTCATGACGACGTTAACTGGATTGTGGGCCGTTGATGGATTGACACGTGGAATTCCCAATGTCGGAGAGGGCAACACGTATTGTGAGGAGGGAGGTGGGGCCCACAGACCACACAAAGCAACAAAATATATATAGACGGATCTAGGGGTGGGAATAAGCTTTACGCTTCAGATGTCATGCTTTTGTTGCGCAAAAACCACCAGGTTTGCGAAAGACCCCACTTCACCAAGAAACAATTGAAGACTAAATATTATTTGGGGGATCCTGCCCTTGCTCTTCAATTCAATCTTTTCATCACTTAGGGTTGATTTTTATTTAGCAAGTCTTGTTCTCTTGATGCATAAGTCCTATAATTTGTCGTTGTCATGATGACACCGTTACGTGGTGTTATCAATTGATTCATGTTATATAACACATTTATGAAATATCAATCATGTCGTTCACCCATATTATATATAACTCATGTAAATTAGTGTGTCTTCGTCGCATACAAATATTTCTTCTATAACCCAAGATATGTGCTTATAGCATGATGACAGTTAATGTATATAACCAATAAGGCTCCGTTTGGTTTAGGAAAAAGATTTGAGGGGAAATCACTTCCCAAGTCATTCCCCAATGGATGGGAAATGGAAGATTCTTTTTCCATGTTTGGTAATGTTGTGAAAGTAACCAGTGATATCATTTTATTTCATTTCTCATGTTTGTTTTTAGTATGAAAGGAAAACAAAGTTTGTATAATTTTCCAATAATACCCATATTAAATCAAATAAAAAAAGAATGCATTGAATAATATATATTGTAATTCTAAATTGTTAATGGGGACAAAATAGTCATGACAAATGTGCATTTAATGTTGGCTCATTTTCCAAAACTTTCCACGAGGAGGGAAAACAAAACCCATAGGGGGGAGGAGGGCTTCACTTTCCCCCTTACTTTCCCATATGCCAGGCAACCATTTCTCATGCTTGGACTAGGAAAACAATTGATTTCTCATCCCCAAACCTCCTTTCCCATGAATCAAACGAGGCCTAAGAGATAAGTAAGTTAAAATTAGTAGGATTGTGTAATTACTATAAAAAAAAAATTTGGTTTCATTTTAAAATGTTTAATATAATAGGATATCCATGGATAAACAAATTTCGTTAAGATGACATGGATTGTTTATGCATGTGTGTATATTTGTATAATAATAATTTGCAATAATCTTGTAAATTTTAGGGTACTATTTGTGTCCTTATTGGTAAGGAGATACTTCTTCTTCATGCAAAACACAATTTGACACATATGCAAACATAATTCATAAAAAACACAAAAAGAAAAACTTCTGCACACATATCACACTGCTATTGGCATGAACGTAAAAGCTCCTACTTACCTGATACGGAGGGAAGTATTTTCCAAATTTTAATCAATAAATTCCAAGAATGTGACCCTCGTGCTAATTACATGAATGCGGATTGAAAAATAGTACAAAATTGGTGTCATGTAAACAACTGTAGTCTTGTGATGTGCACATGAGGGCATGTCAATCCAAAATCTGCAATAATAATAGTATGTATAATGGGCTCAAATCGTGTTAAGATATCATAAATCACACCCTACGAGTCTCTTTTGCAATTGATGTGTTTTCTGGAAGAAAAAGTTTAGTAAATTATAACCTTTCAGAGTATTAATTGGAATATTATGAATTTAGTACTACCAAATAAGCCCTAAATTATTACAAATTATTGCACATCCTTGGCTTTGTGGTATGGTATAAGCCTTTTGATGAGTTAGATTAATATTTGAAAGCAGTGATTAATTTGGGATTCTCCATGTAATTCTTTGATGCTGGATTTACACTCTCAATAACTCTCACGCGTACAATACCTATCAGGTAACATGAAAGTATGTGTGACTGGCCAATTTATAAATATACAAAAGACAAGATATATGTGGTTCACCCTTAATGAATGGGCTACGTCCACAGAGAAGATGTTCTCATTATGATATTGTTTACATTTGTACAAGGGGGTTAGACCCAAAGATAAATGGAAGAAGGCCTAGGGCCTAAAGTACAAAGCTAGGAGTCTGGAGCCCAGGGGTCAAGTCCCCGGGTCTGGAGACCCAGGACCCGAAGGCTGGACTAACAGGAGAGTCCTGAAGAGGGAGCCCCCAGCTCAGTTTTTCATCCTCTCTTAAGTGGAGAGTGGTATGCTTTTATAGGTGAGAGGGAGCCTTCACTTCTTGTTGTTTTCCGATGTGGGACTCCTCTTGCTTTGCTTAGAGTTCCTTTTAGTCTTCTAGTTGCTTGGTCAGTTATGGTGTCAACAACTGTCATGCGAAACTTTAATTCTCGTGGAACTCAAGCTCTCAACAAATGCTTCGAGCAAGTACTATATATAATTTCCAATGTGTTTTGGGTTCTGACCTGCTGGGTGAGCCATATATAGCTCGAGCTTAAAGTAGTCTTTTGACTAGCAACGAAACCAAGCAGTGATATCTGGCTCAAGAACTCCATTGGTTGTGGTGTGGGCCAAAATCATGAAGGTGAGTATGCTGGGTGGGGTCGCAATGCTGGTTCCATGAACAACCCAAGGGTCCCAATGGATGTCACTTCTTGGCTATCCATTTTACTTATATCATCTCAGGTCATGTGGAGCAAATCTTAACATCACACAATCACATCTTTCATCTTAAAATTAATTCTCACACCTCCACTCACTCATTCACACTCACACAACGTATAAAATGAAGACACGAGAAAAGGTCCCCACTCTTTCTTTTCCTTTTTGTTTTTTCTTTGGGTCGAAAAAGTCTCACACTTTGAAAGAGAGGTACTAGTGAATCACACTAGTGGCATGTACTGTGCCTCAGCTACACCCTCTTCATTTTGATCATCTTAATCAGTCTAATTAATCACACACCAACTAGATTCTCTGTTGATGTGAAATAACTAAATTTAAGTGGGTCATTGAGGAACATACATTGTGCTCCTTCCTTTTTGTTTTGTTTTTATATTCTTGTTTTTGGTTTTTGGGAGGGTGTTTAGAAAGCGAGAAAGAGAAGACGAACCAACTTAAACCGAACAAACTGGCTACTTTGAGATATTTCTTTGATGATCTTTGGGTTGTAACTATATTAGTTAATTATGATGTTGAACTTTATAATGTTTTAATGTGTTGAAAAATGAAAAATACCTAGGTGGTTATTAAAAAAAAATATATATATATATATATATTGTAATTAGGCTAATATAGTTGAAAAAATGCAAAGATAAACATATTAGGCTTAGGCTCAAACTGCATGAACCGAATTGTCAAACATTAGTTTGGTTTGGTTTAATTTGATTTGGTTTCTTTAATAAATTTTGTTCAAATCGAACCAAAATAAACTATAATATTATAACTGGTTATGTTGAGATTTTTGGTAAAATCGATCCAATATATATCCAAACTCCTAACCCACATAATTGAATTGAACATGCTATAAGCTTGTCATGTATAAACCCACTTTTCGGTTCATTAGATTTATGTTTATCATTCACTCTTTAAACTCAACATTGTAATGACCTTGTCTCACGTGGTGTACGTAGTTTAAGCTAGATTTCTACGTATGTCAAATTAAACGCACCTAGATTTCTTCTTGATTGATGTTGATCTCCTCTATTTTATGTGTCGAATTAAACGCACTTAGATTTTTATATCAGTCCTCTTCTATTGAGTGATCTCTCAAAAAAATTTATTTGAGGAACACCATTTAGGGTTCCCTACGATATTTTTTTTCAACGATTATTTTTTAAGTCTACATTCATAGATCATCCTTGCAAAAAATTAGACAAATCGGAAACCGTTTCGATATCCAATTGTGTATTACAAAATCAATGAATATTGTGCTTAAAGAAAGTACTAAAATTTCAATAATTTAATTGAGTGGTCAAATGATATCGGATTCAAGTGATTTTGTGTAGAGATGATCTTTGAATGCTTATCTAAAAAATAGACAATTTGGATTAGTGAAATAGAATGCTGAGTGGGCCTTATAAAGGTGTTCCTCAAATAAGTAATTTATTTGAGAATCCTTCAATGAAAACTCTATATATAACTGTAGAAGAGAGTGAAATATGAAAATATTGCTGCTCACTTGGTGTCACAAATCAGTGACAAGAAAAGATTCCCCTTGCTTAATACCATCAGTGACAATTAGACAAATCGGAAACCGTTTCGATATCCAATTGTGTATTACAAAATCAATGAATATTGTGCTTAAAGAAAGTACTAAAATTTCAATAATTTAATTGAGTGGTCAAATGATATCGGATTCAAGTGATTTTGTGTAGAGATGATCTTTGAATGCTTATCTAAAAAATAGACAATTTGGATTAGTGAAATACAATGCTGAGTGGGCCTTATAAAGGTGTTCCTCAAATAAGTAATTTATTTGAGAATCCTTCAATGAAAACTCTATATATAACTGTAGAAGAGAGTGAAATATGAAAATATTGCTGCTCACTTGGTGTCACAAATCAGTGACAAGAAAAGATTCCCCTTGCTTAATACCATCAGTGACAAGAAATGATTACTTGTTTAACAAATTAATACATAGTTAACCATCACTACCAACCACTAAAATCACTAAAATCACTAAAATCACTAAAATCAATCCCTTTTAGCCACACACATACAACAAATAATAATAAAATCTAAAATCAATCACCTTGTCATATGAAAGTACAAATGAGACCCCACTAGCAAAAAGATATCAATTTTATGTTTATATTTGTAAGTACAATATAAGCGACAAGCCTATAGTTGCTTGAATAGTTGTTGTACAGAACAGCCCAACAAAATTTCTCAACAGTGAAGCATAGGGGTTGCCATACAAGGCAAATATCTCCTTCCGGCACCATAAAACAGCTCTGACCCAAAACATCATGCCCTAAGTATCTCACTCTCCAGTCTTGCTTGTGGATCCAACCCTCTGGTTAAATTTCTTGAAACACAAAAAGCCATTCATGTATTAGTTTTCAATGTATTAATTAATTAAGAAGTTAATAATATTGAAAAAAAACCATAAATACATACATATTTTTTCTACGCGGATGTCTAAACATTATTACTGTGTAGACTGCTTTCCTCCGTGTTTATAATAGCATACACTCGTCAATTAAGTCTGGACATTTACATATATATATATATATATATATATATGTAAAAGACGAAAGGTTTAGAACATGGTGGGTAGGTTGTTATTATTGTTGTCCATGTGAACTTTATGAGGTCGATAGGGTCAAGTCAATGGAAAGAAATGATGCTGCCATGCATATACCAAATAATTGTGTTATGAGGTCAATTTTTTCCTCTCTCGGTAATGGTGAGCCTAACTTGACCTTTATCTTTAAACAGTGGAAAAAGAGTAAATTTACATGTGCACAAAGTGCTTTCATGTATGACCCGTGATCACTTTCAATGCTCTTATTATGATACGAATGACTTGTGCAAGATGCTTAAACAAAATAAGCTATAATCATCTTTCAACAACACCTATAGCTGGCTAACAGGTCTACTTTGTTGGGATGTAGCATGATTGAATCAATTATTGTATGAATTAGCAAGTGTTTAATGAAAGAGAGAAAAGGATCATTAATTCATTGCACTTGAATTTTTGTAATTAGACGTTGTTGTTGCCGTTGATTTACTTAATTGATTGATGTAGTTATCACATAATACGTATGTTTTATTCATAACATTTCACTCAGATTTAGTCAATCTAGAAAGTTATGAATGCACGTACATGTAATAAGTTTTTACAATGTGATGGAAATGGGATTAGCCTGAGACCATTGGTTTGCAAATCAAGGTTCTTTTTCATTGGGCTAGACAATGTGATGGAAATTACAATATATAGGTAAAGAAGAAAAAAAATTGTAGGGCGTGTGAGAGAGAGTGAATGTAAAAACTAAACTAGCCCTAATTTTATTTTATTTTAATAACGGAGAGAGAGAATATCTAGATTTATCCATGTCGATTGGAAGTTTTGATCACTAGACATTAATAAGGAAGTTTTGATCACTAGATATTAAGCTCCCAAAGGAGATTATTACAAATTGTGAGGATGAGGGCTGCTAGTGCCAAACATGCTTAATTATTATATGATAAGGTCGGGCAATATTCCAAATAACAGGCCTAATTTCCTCCTCCTCCTCCTCCAACAGACTTGGGCAAAGTCACAATGGCATGACCTCTGACATGTGAAGGAAAACTGGCTAGCTAGCCTCTCTGTAAGTTCGCATATATTATTATTCAAACCACACGTAATCGCATAAGTTGGGTGGAGCAAACCAAATTTTGCAAAGTGCATGTGTGGGGGCTTCAAAGTACAACGTGCAAAAACAATGGCCCTTAAAATTTGATCTCAAATCTCATTTGCTTTTTGTAACCCATCATTTTCACACTGTAAAATCGAAGCCAGGGCGTATCTATCTGGCTTGTGGGTTTGCGTTTCCAAGTTGCTCACATACGAAAGCATGGATGGATTTAGCTTTCTTTGACAACAAGATTCTTCTGTGGGTTGCATGCATCACCTTTTAACGGGCCTTAATGACTTACAGCGACCAACTTCCGACCACCTTTCAGAAAACCCTTCTAAAAAAGCTCGCATGATGTTGCAGCATTTTTCACCATGTGGTGGAATTATTTCTTGGTTGATTGTGACGTGCACTTTGACATCACTAATGCTTTTCACACTCACACACAAATATATATATATATATAGTCCCCTTCTATTGAGGGATCCCTCAAATAATTTTATTTGAGGGACGCCATTTAGGGTACTCTATAATTTTTTTCAATTGAGTACGCCATTTAGGGTACCTTACAAAAAATTAGACAAATCGGAAACCATTTCGACATCCAATTGTGTCCTACAAAATCAACGAACAACGATGCATCAAGAAAGTACTCAAATTTCAATAACACAATTGAGTGGTCAAATCATATCGGATTCAAGTGATTTTTTGTAGAGATGATCTTTGAATGAGTATCTACAAAATAGACGGTTTGGATTAGTGAAATACAATCCGGAGTGGGGCCTACAAGCAGTGACGGACCCAGGATTTCAAATTAGGGTGGGCTAGATTTACCTTACATACAAGCCATGAAGGGAGGAACATAATCAATGGAATCGACGTGTATAGATTTCCAATTTTTAAAAAAACACAAAACCTATATTAATTAACCAAAACAAAAACTCACACTAACCAACAAAAGGAATAAAGTCATACTAATTAAACAATTACTAATGTAGAAGCTATTTTTTTCTTTCCAAAAATGTAGAAATTCTTAGGATTAAGGGTTTATGGCGTAAAACATGAATGATTATAATTAAAAATATATTGGAATTTTAGGGGACTATAAGGGGCTGATCTACTTTCATTTGTATATTTTTAATTACAAAACATGTACAATCAAATGTTTTGGCCAAGCCAAAAAAAAATAATTACATAGAATTTTTTTAAATAAAAATTGTAAATCCCTAATTGATACTTCATAAACTCTAAAAAGTACCAAATTTCAACATCAACAAATTAAGACAATAAAAGAAGATTAATAATTGAAGATTAATTTGGTTTTCTTTAATTAAGCATTGAAGAGCATGTAATAGGAGAGATGATTGGCTCTTTCTTCAATTTGTTTTTTCTCTACGTGCATTAGCTAAGGGTTTGTGGGGTTTGCTTGGGTGGGCTGGGAGTATTACTATAGGCTAGAACAAATCAAGACACATGGGCTATAGCCCAGGTTAGCTTGGGAATTGGTCTGTCCCTGCCTACAAGGGGTGTCCCTCAAATAAGCTTATTTGAGGAATCCCTCAATGGAAGCTCACTATATATATATATATATATATATATATGCGCGCAAGCAAGCAAGCAAGCTAGATGGTGTAATTTTGATTGCACATCCAGTAGTCAAATATATGCATGGTTGATGTCAGTAAAACGATATACCCAAAGTATCGTGGGTGTTATCGGATTGGTATATATTTTCTGCCAAAAAATTATTGCCGCAACATGATGCTTACGCGAGAGATCATTATCACAGATAGAGATGTAAATGTCGCATATTCTATGAATCCAAATATTAAGGGCAAACAATGAGCTGACAGCGTAACATATAGATTTTTGGTCGGTACCGTGTACATGTTTAGGGGGAAAAGGGCTCGTGCTTGTAGTTGAGTCACTTTCTTCATTGTCAATTGATTTTGAGTTGGATTGATGTTCAAATTCTATTATAGTGCCATATTTAGGTTCGCTCACGTGTGAAGTTCAACAGCCAAACGTGCTCCATATCACTTAGTTAAATTGTACGCTTGAAATTTCGTCACACATGAAGGAGCTTGTGAGGATGTGAAGAATTATCTCACATTGGAAAGTTAAGAACATTGCAAGCGCTTATAAAGAGTTGGGACGTTCCTCCTTTTTGCTAATTGATTTTGGGTTGGATGTTCACATAAAAGTTATTTCTATTAAGAATCATATTTTTTTTTTTGCAGTTGATGTTTAATTAATCCATTTAATGAGTGCTTTCTTGAATTTGTTAATTTCTTAAGTTCGATGAATTACCTAGCTAGCAACATATATAGCATGCACATGCATCATGAGGCTTCAACAGGCTAGCTAATTAATAAAGAGTATTGCTAAACGAATCTGAAAATTAACTAAGTACATTCTAATATTTTAATCAAAATGTAAAATTAACTAAATACACCCTATTTAACTACCAAAAATACCCTTGGTATACTTAATAGACTCTATCACACAACATCTTAATACTAATTCTAAACCAGGTTTCTCTTTTTCCCACACAACCACACTCCATAAGCTAGGGGAAAAGGATAATCGTCTACCAGATTGAATCAACTACTCAACCATCACTAACTTCGTTATGACCAATATATAGGAAAAATGCATCAATCCATTTGGTCATAAAATTCACATAAAAACTAGAATAAATAAAACAAATTAGTTAAAACAAAGACTGAGTGAACTCGCAGTAAATAAAAGGCAGGGCCGCACAACATAACACAAAATTACTGGATGCCATGAGCGAAAGCTTAATCTAGATTGCGAAAGTGACTACATCTGACTTGTAAATATCACCCCACACAATTTGGAATAAGTGCCCCTTTAACAAAACTGGATTTACAAGTTAGTACCAAACCAAATCGAAACTACTTGGTTTGCTTTTTTACTTTTTTGAAACCATCCCAAGTTTACACATTCAAAACTCAAAACGGATTCAACCAAAAATACAAAATACAAATAGAAATCTTTTGAAACTTGGAAAAAAGAAGCCTTAAGAAAATAAAGGTGCTAAAACAAAATAATACAAAGATCAACACTAAAGCATTGATAGTTACATTGACAACACAAGATGCACGTATTCAACATATGGATATATACACAGATACGTCTTCTTTTAATGGGAACCACTTTAGCAGGATTGTGGACATTTGAAATATATGTCTGGCTCTTCTAAAAGAGCGCATGCGTTGATCGATGTGGACACCAAGCAATACGAAAATTTCTCTACGTTTGATTAGGTTTGAATATAGTGAGTATGATATACTTATTAAAGTTATATTTATTTCACGATTCCATATATCCTTTTTGGTTATTTTATATTAGGGTAAATTAGTAATGCAATAAATACTTTGGTAGTAGGGTGTACTCAATTAATTTTAGAGTTTGTTTAACAGCACTCATAATAAATACCCTAATTCTCTAAAAATTATCCAGAAGTACTCACCATGCAACGATACAAATTATAAGTGCCCTAATTTTTATTTTTTTTAAATTTATTTGTTGAAAGGAAACAATATTTATTTCGATCAATCAAATCACTTCCAGAATTGTGAGCTTAAAATAGAAGGATTAGTTTCACAAACTCTTGTGTATTTTCTCTTTTTCTCCATAAAATATTGTATCCAATCAACAATGTGTCATCTTCCTGGTAAAAATCCTGAGATCTCTTCGCATGTCATATCACGTTAATCTTAAGAAATCACAGCCTGTTATAATGACAGCTGGGTCTGATTAATTTGGACAGTAATTCATTTCTGTGATTTGGCTTTCAGTATTTGGAGAGAGACAGCTCGATCGAAATCCCATTGTCATGACAGCTAATTTCCATGTATAAATTGTATTTACGTTGATATATGTCACACTTTCATACATCTATAAACAAGAGACATAATACTATATATGCAGTATGCATACATATATTAATATAAAAGCTTAATATCACAAAACGTCAATAAACTAACGGAGTTTTTGATGGAATCTAACGGCAAGTACCATTTGTGAGCATACATACTAACCTTGAGGACCACGAATGACGTAAAAAACAATAAGGATGCAATTTGATAGTTTCGTAAACTTCAAGGACGTTTTATGATATATTAAGCCTAATATAAATATTTGTGAATTACATTTTACATTCATGTTGTTTGAGTGAAATTTTATTCGACCCTTGATGTTTAAATTTGATGTATATTTAAAAGCATGTTTAAACGTCATCATGAGTTCTTCAACTACGTGTATTTGGTTTCGAAATTTTCCAATTGATGTTTTACATAGAATACATTGTGATTTATTTGGTGTAAATATTCCTCGAGAATTTTCTTTGTAATGTTTGTTTCTTGACCCAAAAATTCAAAAATGGCGGCCCTCCATCTGGTTTTGTTTACTGATTAGTATTAATCAAGTGGTTACCACGACTAAGTCAATATATAATAGTACAAAAATATTGAAAAATATGTTCTCCGCCCCTAAATTGGAGAAGGGAAGCATTTGCCTTACATTAGTGCTTAAAGATATCTTTCGTTTGGTGTGTCGACAAGTCAAGGAAGAGAGCTTAACAAAGCCAATCAAGGTGGCGTTGGTGGCCAAATCTTGCTTAGCCTTATACAGAGAACGAGACAGATTGTGAGTTGGGGGTTGCTTTCACTAATTGTCGTTTTTAAGCCAAATTCGAAATATTAATTTGTTGTCATGTACAATCACTTGCCAAATTTTGAAATGAGGACAAGTAATTGGCTACTTTTTAGATCAAAGATACACGGTATCAAATAGATGAGAAGTATCTACGCCATGGATGCACCTTTCAAGCTGGCCTTAAATAAATTTAAGTTAGCTTCTTTTGTATGAAAATTTTGTCAGCTTTCCCTCCCTCTTTCTATGAATGTGATACTTTTTTTAAATTTCTTGTGGTTTAGCATGACTGACTTCGATTGGAGACCTACTGCTTCCTCGGTATTAAAAGGAGGTATATCTACATCATTTCATCTAACGAAATAGAAGATTAATCTTCATTAATTGTTCATCTAACGAAAACCATAAAATATATAGATATATATATATATTTATCTATTTATAATTTTAGAATCAAGATTTCATTCAAAAATTCGAGAAGAGAGTACATCTGCAGAAAGAAATGCGAGCAACCATGTAGGTGCTTCCTCAATCCATGGAAACAAAATCATTAAAGCTGATTGCAAATTGAGCCAAGGTGTGTGCCACCTTATTGTAGCTCCTTAGGGACCACTGACCTAAAGCTACTCTAAATTTGCTTAAAATGCATTTTGCTTCTTCAAGTAAAAGACCATATGTTTCATTGTATTCCTCCGCCGAAAGAATTTCCTCTGCCGAAAGAATTTCCTCCGCCGAAAGAATACCAGTTATGCATTCTTTTGCGTCCATCTCTAGAATGACACAAGTCAAATACGTCCATGTCAAGAGCAAAACGCAATCCTTCAATTGCAGCCAAAAGTTCCGTTTGCTTGGCCCCATAACTGGCTTGGATTGGCTTAACGCGTGCACCCATAAATGGACCTGGCATTCGTATCGTGTTTATAGTGTTCGTGTCGTGTTTGTGTCAACATGCTTTTCTTAACAAGTTGACACGACACGATAAAAAAACGGGTGAAAAATGTTAAACACGAACACGACCCGTTACAATTCGCAAATCACACGACACGAACCGTTTCACCTGTTAAGAATTTAAAAAAAAATGAAAACTAAAAAGAAAGAAAAAAAACCACATATAGAACCAGTGCGCAGAGAGAGAGAGAGAGAGAGAGAGAGAGAGAGAGAGAGAGAGAGAGAGAGAGAGAGAGAGAGAGAGAGAGAGAGAGAGAGAGAGAGAGAGAGAGAGAGAGAGAGAGAGAGAGAGAGAGAGAGAGAGAGAGAGAGAGAGAGAGAGAGAGAGAGAGAGAGAGAGAGAGAGAGAGAGAGAGAGAGAGAGAGAGAGAGAGAGAGAGAGAGAGAGAGAGAGAGAGAGAGAGAGAGAGAGAGAGAGAGAGAGAGAGAGAGAGAGAGAGAGAGAGAGAGAGAGAGAGAGAGAGAGAGAGAGAGAGAGAGAGAGAGAGAGAGAGAGAGAGAGAGAGAGAGAGAGAGAGAGAGAGAGAGAGAGAGAGAGAGAGAGAGAGAGAGAGAGAGAGAGAGAGAGAGAGAGAGAGAGAGAGAGAGAGAGAGAGAGAGAGAGAGAGAGAGAGAGAGAGAGAGAGAGAGAGAGAGAGAGAGAGAGAGAGAGAGAGAGAGAGAGAGAGAGAGAGAAGAACATAAAAGAAAGCTATGTTTGGTTTCTGAGAAAAATAATGAAACGAGAAGAAACTTACTAAGAGAAAGACAGTGAGAGAGTCGGGGGAATGGGGGAGGAAGAGAAGAAACATAAGAACCTGAAGGAGAAAATAGAAAGGAAAAAAAAAATATAAATTTACAAAAATCCCACTGAGCTTAACCAGTTAACGGGTATTTGCAAATGTACATGACACGACCCGTTAACTTAACGTGTGACTAACAGGTCAACATGATATCAATGATGGATGTATTTAGGCAAACACCAGATCTGCGTCTTTCCCCCTCCCTTGTTAACTAATGATGGATGTATTTGACTTGAAGTTACAGACCTTTCACCAATACAAAACTCAAATATGAATTGGCATATCAAAGAATGAGATTTGAATTGGATTGATGGGCAATTCCTTAATTCTTTCTTCACTGCCCAATTAAATTAGAAGATATGTTCAATTTTGGGACAATTAAAGAAATTGGGTTTCTGGGCTAATTCTTTAATCATTTCTTCACTGCCAGTTAAATTAGAAAATGCATGCATTGAATTTTTTGCACAATTTCTTCATCCATCGCAGCTTTGGGTTGATTCTTGGTCCTTCGGGTTCATCTTCACCCTCATTGTAGCATCTCCCCAATTCAATTTTGGTCATATTAGTTTCTTTTGGCAATAATACTAGCTAGGTACACCAAGTTTGGATCTCGAATGATGTAGTGTATGAACCATCATCACTTTTAAATAAACACAATTTCAAACATGCATTTAGGAGTCATTAATTTCTTCTAGAAATAGAAATATATTATTATTATTTTAATTAATCAAAGGTCCCAAACAATTTAGTTTCTTTTGGCAATAATACTAGCTAGGTACACCAAGTTTGGATCTCGAATGATGTAGTGTATGAAACCATCATCACTTTTAAATAAACACAATTTCAAACATGTATTTAGGAGTCATTAATTTCTTCTAGAAATAGAAATAAATTATTATTATTTTAATTAATCAAAGGTCCCAAACAATAAGTACCGATGTATCCCACCACCACCTAACCTCCCTTTGATTATTTTAATTAATCAAAGGTCCCAAACAATTGATCTGCTCTGCTTGGGTTATAGAATGGTAGTGGATGGAGCAATTGTTAGGCAGTGGTGGGATATTTTGGTTTTGATTTGGGCTTTGGTTAAATTAATATTATTGTTTTATTTTTGAAAAAAAATTTAACTGCTTTAAAATACATGTTGGAAATTTTGTTAAATTTGAAGTGATGATTCTGGGATGTGCTACTTCATTTGGGATGCAAATTTGGTGTCCCTAGCAACTCCCTTGTTTTGATTACGCTATTAGGTTTAAGCCCAAACCATAATGTTATACTAATTCGGTGTGCAGTTTGAGACCTAAGTCGAATTAACCCGTATCGTGCCGACTTTTGCATTTGTATTTTTTTGGGGTACATATTTGAACTATGTTTGTAATAAGGCCCAAGTCTAGTCGACCAGCACTGGGTTGGTTTGGGAATGGGCTACAGGGCCTGGCCTTGATCACCAGACAATATTATTTTGGGCTTCCACAGAAATTAGAAAAGCATACATCATTTTAAGCTCTGGTCTTTTGAAAAAGTTTAAAGAGAGCCAAGAGCAGTCAACCTCAGCTTTGAGAATGGGGCTTTGGGAAAAGCTTGGCCGAGAAAGAAAGTGAAAGAGTAGACAAGCATACGTGATACTTACTTCCACCATTATTTGATAGAGACCTAGTACAATAAGAACAAGGTGCAAAACACATTCATGGAAGATAAATAATACTTTCTAATTGAAAGGTCAAAAGAAATCAAAGTAAGTCTTTACAGAGTGATTAAAAACCCTCTCTCCCAATCGGAAAGGGGGAGGCTATATGTGCGATTTTATAAAATCTCCCTGTAAGAGTTTGTAGTTTGAAGTTTGCTTTTGCTTGGTTTAACCAAGCCTATTGGTTGTCGTTGTTTTGAGTTCCATCCTCTCTCCCAATCGGAACGGGGAAATATTAAAAACATAGAAGAATTCCGAAGTAATGAGATTTAATATTATAGAACTTGTAAAGTTTCTTGTTTGACTAGCTTAGAATTCCGAGAAAAAATTGTTTATCTTTTTCGTTTGGATAGTAACATGTTGCCTTTTATGAATGCTTCTTGGGACTTAGCATCGAATCAATACCCTTCTTAAACCATCCATCCTTCCATACTTCAATCTAAGATTCTGTCGCATATTTGCATCGAATGAGTTTAAATCACACCTTTAATTCAAGTTTCTTGTTTTATTTGTTTCTAGTAAGAGATCACAACCAAATGCAAGTCGTTTTTCCAGGGCAAACAAACAAACAAACAACACGGCATCAATTCAAGTTCCTATTATGTTTTAAAAACTTGCACGACTAAAATTACTCAACATCTTTGAATCAAAAGCTTTAAAGGAAAAAGAAAATGAAAGGAACATATCAAAGTCATGAGTATCAAGTTGACCACACGTGCAAGCAAAAGAATCAACGGTTAAATTGAAGGGTCAATACATATCTGAAGACTGATGGACGACAGCTTTAAATATGGAAGAAGAAGTGGATTGTTGTTTGGCATCTCATTGGCATCTAATGGGGATGATCCTACAACTACAAGCCACTCATGGAAAATGTCAAATCCTTCAAAGTGAGGACCAACCTAAGCTAAGTTCCGTACATTTGCTTTATCCAAGTGATGAGGCCTAAAATTTTTACCTTAATTTAATGCAAATGATTAAAAGTTGTATTCAAACCTATACATGGTTGCATATATACAAAGTAAAGAGTTAACTATAATTATGTCAAAAAAGACGTGTCAAGTATTGAGAAGGGTAATAAGGGTACACATTGGATTAAAGTACATGGGTTTGGATTTAGGATAAAGTCAAATTTGAGTGCATCTTTTGGTTCTTGCTTCAAGAAACAACTCTGTTTTTTTTTTTCCTTCTAAATATCTTATAGGTGTGATTACATTTTGGTCAAAAGTGTCGTTGAATGGCTAGTTTTTTGTTTTTTGTTTTTAAAGATTGAACAGTTGATAGAGAGATTGCAAGATTTTATTTTTGGCAGTTTTTGAAACATATGAAATTGTTAATTTGGTTTTTCTTTTTTTTTGTTGCTGCTGTTGCAAGATATATGTTATTATTAGTGGGTTAGCAGAGATAATCTCTATTTAGTTGGTTCATAGCTTGTCTTTTTATCATATCGCAATATATCAATCAGTTCTTAGTTTTATTGAAAAGTTGTGGTAATCGAACCGTAACCACCCCTAGTGTAGATGGGCTTCACATATATGTTGTGTAATTAATCAAACCGAAGAGCCAGTAACCATGACAGCTGGTACTACAGATTAATGATAATTTGACACTTGACGTTTTAGAGGACAGGGAAATTTTTCTTTACTGACAGACGTTAGGTCCTTTCAATGCCGTTAGTTTACTTACCCAAATTCCCTCCCTCTTTTATGTTTTTTATTTTTAATCCTCTCAAAAAGAAAACCGAATGACAAACTTTTTTCCGAGAAAATGAAAGGACAATAATTGATCATGAGTGTTATGAGGATGTGGCCTATCGAATCAATAAGTATAACATGATATGAGGATAGCATGGTCGTCAATTTGTATACAAATAGAAGACAAAAAGTCGATTTCTAAGGTCGAACATGATCTGAGGACAGCATGGCCCCCCCTCTTCGGTCTTCAGTTCCATACAAATTTGACTGACATTCATCATCCACTTGCTGCCATACAAAACTGATTGAATAGATTGTCAGACGAGGAAACCAGCAAAGGTTCCAAATGAAAGGATAAAAAGGGAAAACAAGAAACTACGCTATCTAAGCCTCCAAAACAATTCCTGACCCTAGAATGAAAGAGAAAGGGGATTTTATTTATTTATTTATTTATTTATTTATTTTTGGGGGTCTAAAAGAAAAAGGGAAATGGCGTTAACAGAAGTTGGACTTAACGTGGAGATAACGCGGGCATAACGTCTTCCAGTAAAGAAAAGTTTCTCTCTCCTTTAAAATTGCGTAGTATCAGTTGTCAATGCCACATGGTACTACTATATTGTATAATTTCTCAATTGGCTGAGCTCATTCACTTTCACAGTCCACCTATGTGGGAAGAGATTCGAAAACCCCACACATAAATATTTGTATGTAAACCCCCTCTCCCAATCTATTGCACCAAAAACAAATCACGCATGAAAAAAAACCACTCTAAAGAAATTTGCCTTGTGTATATGTTATTTTTTAAAGAACAAAAAAGACAACCAAATAAAAAACGCCAAAGAAAAACAAAAGTAGAAAAGGACGACTCTGCAAAAGGGTTGAACCTAACCGTGCCGAATTAACTTGACCGAATAAAAGTTTTTTTTACTTTTTTATTATTCATCATCACTTTCATACTATTTTTCATTAATCACAAACCCAATAGAGTATGACCTTGATTTTGACAGTCTCTCATCTTAATCAAGGGCTATTTATTATGTAAAAGATCCACTAGTATAGTGGTTTGGAATAATTGTTCTCCCAGGCAAGGTCCTGGGTTTGAGTTTTAGTATTTGTATAGTGTATGAATTTAGTACATTATCGCCTCTCTCAATAGGAAATGTCCTCAAGACTTCAATAGCGTGTGCATAATTTTACTAGTTGGTCTATCTTTGTTCATTGGGGGCTTCTCCGTTATTTTACTAGTATTTGTATAGTGTATGAGTTTAGTATATTATTGGGGGCTTCTGCGTCATTTTACTAGTTGGTCTATCTTTGTTCATATACTTCAATAGCGTGTGCATAATTTTCGTTATGTGTTAATTGAAAGGAATAATTGGAGATATTTGTTTGTTCGATAGAGACCATTTAGTTAGGTTGAAGATTTAATTTGTCTAGTTGTATCTTAATCATTTATACATAATTTAATGAATTAACGTAGGCATTTAGAGAATGTATTTTGTTCATTTTTGTTAAATTGATTTTATTTTGGTTGAAGATATTTATTTGATTGATTCGTACATTATTTAATTTACTTTTCTTAATCGCATGAGCTACAAACAAGGAACAAGCGACAAAGCCACTTGTAATGCTAGTTCAAAAGATCCCAGTCCAAAAGGGTTTCTCATGGATCAGCAATGCTTGTTCTACAAGTTTTCCCTCTAGCCCTGACGTGGCCCATTAGAGTAGTGCCAAGCCAACTAGAGGGCTACCTTGGCTTCCTCATGGTCCATACACGTGTATGTAACGTACACGTATGCATTGAGCATAAATGAAGATTATGACACACTACAAGAGTTATGATTCATGAAGCTTTATTTGTCCTTTTTTTTTTTCGGTTGAAATTTGTCTTGAATAATTGTGCAATATATTATATTTGCCAAATTATAATATAGTTAACATTTATACGTCAACGTGACATGTTCTAATTGGAAAACAGACGCAAGCGTAGTAATAAGCCTCGAGATGTAGCTACACTACAATGAGCGAGTTTAAGGCAATGTTTACTAACTCGAAATTGAAATGAGAAAGAACTAGAGTGAGAAATAGTCGGATTGAGAAAAGAGTGTCACCTTTGAAGATGAAAGCTTAATCAAGGGGTTTGCCGCCATCTACCTTTTACCAAGATGTTAATGGGAACCTAATCGGGATTAAGGTCCAATCCACATTCATTGTCTTAGCAAGATGTTTATGGCAACCTCCTTTAATCACATTAGATTAAAGGTCAAATCAAACATTTATTCTCTCACTTCAGATTTTGGAAGGTCTTAGTTTTCCACAGAGAAGATAAGGTCATCCCTCATTTAGCCTCAATGGATAAGTTGCCAGTTTTCCTGACAGGTGGAAGTTTCTTTGTAATTTAACTTCTCAAATTGTACAAAGATTCTTTCTTGAGACATTGAATCTGTGGCAAAAACCAGCAAAAGGGAAGGGAAGGAACAAGTCTCCTCCATTCACCCTTTTGACGCTATCCATTTACATTGAACTTATTTGAGCTGGTACACATTTTTACTCTGCTCACCACTTTTAGACATTACCATCGCATTAATTGTCGTTAGATAAAAAACAAGCACACAACATCAATATTACCATCACGTTAATTGCCGTTGGATAAAAAACAAGCACACAACATCAACATTACCATCACGTTAATTGCCGTTGGATAAAAAACAAGCGCAGAACATCGACACACAGTAAAAGGAAAACAAACAATATATACAAATCAGCGGGAAAACCAAAATGGTCTCCATCACTCATGATAAAAGAACCACATTAGTAAACTAAACCAAATCAAATTAGCAATTAGCAAATAGTCATAATAACACACTCATATGGTTTTAAAATGTGGTCCTCTGAATGAGTTTATTTCAATGATACTATTCAAATTTTGACTTGAACATGTCCCATAAAAATGGAGGCGGCAAATATTGACCAGCTTTTTTTTAATAATCTTTTTTCTGACAGATGGAAATTAAATTATAATTCAACTGCATTAAATTGTACAAAGATTCTTCCTTTCCCGCTGCTGAGTACACTGAATCTGGCCTAAACCATCAAAAAAGAAGGGGCGAATTTCCATTCACCCTTTTTTCATCCTAACCTCCTCCCAAACTTTCTTTCACCGCCTAAACCGAAAATGTTAGCCCAAAGAATCCCGAGTATTTACAGAAATGCACCCCTACTTGATTTCTCTACCGAAATGCACTTCCCTTTCTACTTTCCCTTTTCCCCACCGCCAAACCCCAAACCCGACCGGCCGAATCGGGTACCGTACCCGTACGGGGCGGTCGGGTTGCAAAAGTTCTGAGGCATAACGTTCGAGTTCTGAAAGACCCCCGAGTTATCAACCCGCTGAGTTCTGAACCCGCTCTGCACCTCCTCGTCCACCGTCTTCGCGAGCCTCTCCGGCGGAGATTCCACGTGGCAGAGCGGCGGGATCGAAGGGACATACATGTCATTGTTGCTATAGTTCACATTCATTTGCCCTTGGCCTTGCTGGGGCTGGTTATTCGGACACAGTTCAGGCACCACGTTGAGCCCGGCAAGACTCGCCCAGTCGAAATTTCCAGAACCCATCTGAAACCCGAGCTTGCTGTCCTCTTGCTGCTGCAGCGTTTTGAGCGAGTTTATGCGCGGCAGAGTGAAGCAGCGGTCGTCAATCTCCGGCAGCCACTCGAGCACGTCGTCCAGCTGAGATGAGCAGGAAGACGACGAGCCGTTGCTGTGCTCTTTGCTCGAAACGCTCGTCGTCATGGGCTTCTGCGCAGCTGAGCTCGAGCTCTTCTTGTAAATACGACACAAAACCCATTCATCCAACTGCAACAACCAAAAAACCCAAAGATTAAACCATTATCACACAATCAATTTATAAAAAAAAAACAGGGGAGAATATAAATTCGATAAAATTAAGTACCTTGGTGCTGCCATTTTTGCGTGAAGGTTCGATTAGGCGATACTCGTGCATAATCCAATTGGTCTTGGTGCCTTTGGGGGCTTTGCCGACATAGAAAACCAGAGCTTTTTTAATCCCAACTTTTCGACCTTCAGTGGTGATGATCTTATCAGTGCCGGTGGCCTTCCAGTACCCAGACCCGGCTACCCTGTTGGGTCGTGACCCATTTGGGTATTTCCGGTCCCTCGGACTGAAAAAGTACCATTCTTTTTCACCAAATATTGCTTTGCCTGCAAAACCCAAGTGAAAAACTGTTCAATATAGTTCGAATTGAGCCATATCAAAAAATGGGTAGGGATAAAATAGTCAAATAAGAAATGGGTTTTGGCTCTTACTTGGTAAAACCCATGGATCGAACTTGTAGAGATCAATTTCAGCTATAATTTGCAGACTGAATTGGTACCCAGCAACCTTGCGACACAGATATTGAACCAGAAGCTCTTCGTCTGTGGGATAGAATCGAAACCCCGGTGGCAAGCTTAGCTGAGAAAGTGGGTCGGTTTCTGGGACACCCATTTTTTCTGATAAAAATTTCAGAGCTTGAAATTTGAATTCAGAAAATTTCAGAGAGAGGAGAAGATGAAAAAGAGAGAGAGAGAGAGGGATTTTGAAATAATTTCTAAAATCCCAAATATTATTATTTCTTTTTTTTTCAGTTTCCGAGATATGGCGGTTATTTAAATAGAGCAGAGCAGGAGGGGGATAAGTACGGTCTTTTTGTCGTGCTGTGGGCTGGTTGGGGCCCACTTGAGTTGTGCACCGTTTAAAAGCTGCCACGCGATGCTTTTAAAGTTTGACGTTATCGTGCGGCCGACCTTATCCGATAGCGAGTACGGTTGCTAGGCTTTGGTGCATGAACCGTCACGAATATTACAGTGGTGACTCACCCCGTTACGGGACGCGTGTCGACCGCTCGCGAAAGCGTCCAGAAGCTTTTCTTGGCGCGAAAAGGGGGGCCTCGATCTTTTTGAGGCTTCGCGAGGCGTTTTCCACGCGTGGTTTAACCCACGTCGGCACACAAGGCATGGGACACGTGCCAACACGTGGACAACTGAGAGGGGAGTTAGGCTGGAATTTTGTCAAAATATGGGAGGCTTGACAGGGAAAGAAAAGGAACAAAAAGTGGTGCTACGGTGCCACATTGGCAATGAGAGTTTGTATAAAAATACTTCTTTATTCTCGTTTCATCGTTCTTCTGTCTATCTTCTCATATATGTATATAAAGTAAAAGGTAGAAAATGGTGAAACATTCAAAATACCAATACCAAAAAATGCCCTTGGTTAATGCAAACTTTAAGAATTGAAATTATTAATTAAATGATAATAATATGGTAAATTCACACTTTTTCATAAAAAAAAATTAAAATTAAAAGAAAAATAATGTGAAACATAACTACCCATTATCTTTTATTTATTTATCTATATATATAAAGCAAAAGGCAAAGAATGGTGAAACATTCAAAATACCAGAAAATGCCCTTCGTTAATGCAAACTTTAAGAATTGAAATTATTAATTAAATGATGATAATATGGTAAATTCACACTTTTTCATAAAAAAAAATTAAAATTAAAAGCAAAATAATGTGAAACATAACTACCCATTATCTTTTTTTATTTATCTATATATATAAAGCAAAAGGCAGAGAATGGTAAAACATTCAAAATACCAGAAAATACCCTTGGTCAATGCAAACATTAAGAATTGAAATTATTAATTAAATGTGGATAATATGGTAAATTCACATTTTTTTACATTAAAAAAAATTAAAGAAAAATAAGATAAAAGATTCTATTTTTATGGAACACAACTACCTATTATCTTTTATAATTCTAAAATAATTTTTTTTTATATTTAAAAAGCCTCACACATTTTTTTAAAAAGCCTCACGGAAGCGCGTGTGGAGAGGCTAGTATATATAAAGCAAATGCAGAGAATAGTGAAACATTCAAAATACCAGAAAATGGCATTGGTTAATGCAAATATTAAGAATTGAAATTATTAATTAAATGAGAATAATATGGTAAATTCACACTTTTTCATAATAAAAAATTAAAATTAAAAGAAAAATAATGCATTCTATTTTTATGAAACACAACTACCCATTATCTTTTTTAATTCTAAAATAAATTTAAATATTTTAAATAAATAAAAAAGCCTCTCGCAGGCGTAGAAGCGCGTACGGAGATGCTAGTGTTATCTATGAGACAATAAGAGATGTAGAAGGAAGAGAGCAATGATAGTTTCATCATCTCTCTGTTTATCTTCTCATATGATCTATGAGACGATAAGAAATACAGAAAGAAGAGAGCAATAAAACGGGAATAAGGAAGTCTCTCTTCATGAGAGTGTACGTGCACTCTTATTTTTTGTCTCAAATTTTTAATTAGTGATCAATTATTTTATTGGTGTTTTTTTGGATGTAGGTGAGAAATTAGGGTTTCTTTCACTCATCAACTACTATGGGCTAAGCCTACAAGCATGCTGATATGATTTGATTGGATTTGAATACATGGGTTTTGGAGTTTTTAAATTTGGTATTATTTGGGATTCGATAAAAATGATGAGGTGGGTTGGTCAAGGTTTAAGAGGTGGAAAGAAATCGAGTGTTCTTGATTGATTTGGGTTTTTCTAGCATTTTGCACACGTGGCCAAAAAGAAACAATTTTGGTAGTTCAAATGGGCACGTAGAAGAGTTTTGAGGTTTATTTTATGACATATGGTTTCTTTGAGGATCAAGTTTTGACCAGCAGAAGCGGTCCAACGTTTTTTGTTTTTTTTTTTTTTCTTTTTTCTGGGGTAGATTTGAAGTTTTGGTGACTTTGGTTTGTGCCACGTGCAGATTGTATAGTGCTAGATGGCGGCAGGTGACTGGTTTTGTGTGGCATTTGGCCGGTTTGGCCTTTGAAAAAGGAAGAATACTTGTCATGGGAAACAGAGATTCGGGGTACCTACTTTTGAGTTTTTGCTTCAAGACTTGAACTTCAACTTTGAACTCTGAATCACGGAATAAATAATTGTTTGTTTCTAACAATACTGTGCTGTGGTTTGGATATGTTGGAAAAAAGAGCTTTGATGAATTTCCAAGTTTTTTCTATGTGCACTTTATAGTTTTGTCACTTTTACTTTCTTTTTCTTTGGAAAAAGATATTTTAATACAAGGGATAACTAGAATAGTCAATCTACAACCCAAACGTGACAATAAAAAACAAGAGCAAAATCTTAATTAAAAGATTTCTTGATTGAATAAAATCATATGGTATAAAAAGAGCAAAATTACAGAAAAAAAATATGCACAACAATAAGCGACCTACTCCTCAACAACAACGACTCTTGTCACTTTAACTTTAAATTATGAAAATTATCATTGATACACCGGAAAATTAAGAAGTTGTCATACAGTCCTAGAAGTAGTTGATATAAAAGCATAACTGAAACATCAAAATTGCATAAAAGGACTTATAGCTCAAGTGATATCTTGCGTATGAGGTGCGTTTAAATTTGGTTGAACCCACCAACACAATGGGTCTCCCTAATATTTTCCTTTATTTTGACATTTGTGATTAATTAATCTAATCACATTAGTTATGGTTTGACTAGTGCATCAATTATTGGCTGAATAGCTTGGTGCACCTAAATGCATGGGATGGTGGGTTCATTGCCAAATTCATTTGAGACAACCATATACACACGCAAATCTATATTTTATGCTTTATTCCCGACGGCATTTAGAATGTTGTCGTAAAAAGTTTCGCTTATTAACCATATTAGACCTAGAGTTTCACATGTTTATTAATATTCAAAGTTCAAACCCAGACTTTTACCAACAAAAAGAAATCTCAAACCCAGAGACCAGACCAGTTATCCCATTTCGGCGTTCAACATGTTCAACATGTTACCAGTAAATGTTGGACTTTTTAACCAATCTAATCAAATTTTATAGCTGTGTGCATCCTTCAAAACCAACACCTAACATATATATTGACCTCCTAATTCAACTCTTATCAACTTATATAAAAATTCAAAACGACTTTATGATGCGTGATTAAGAAAAAAAAACTTATCGCATGTGCGGCACAAATGGATATTTTAATTTTGAAGTGTAATATTCTATAGGTGTTCGCTGTACCTGTGGTTCAACTTTCAACTTGACTATTGATGGGAATGACGATTACATCATTGCTTGAGTGTAAAGTCTCATAATGTACCTTGATTTTTTCAACGTGGCAATTATCCACGTTTTCTTTTTCGTAAATGTGCTTCACCTCATTTTGTTGCTAACATAAGATACCGAAAGAATATCCCATTTTTTCACCAATAAAATAAAATAATATAATATACCTACTGTTTTGTCTGTTATAGTCGCGCGTGAGCGAAGAAAAAAATGTCGATATGGTATTACAAGTTCACTAAAATTATAAAATTTCTAATGAATTTAGAATGTTTAACGTAGAAAAAGGACAACCAAAAAAAGCATTTTAGAAACAGAGTGTGTAATTGTTTCCAAAAATACCATAGACACAATATATTATCATATATGCCATCTCAGATTACTCCACCAATTGTGTCTTCCTGCTCCCTACCTATCTTGTTAATGCCTCCCATATATTGTCTGTATTGGAACACAAACCAAAATTGGAGAATTAACTTGGGAAGCAACATCTCTATATCCAAAACAAGAACTGCATGCGGTTCCAAGATTCGAAAGCCGACCGGGCAAAACTTATATAACAAACTTGACGAAATGAGTGAATTTCATTAATAAACATAAAAAAAAATTACATAGTGAGAGGAGACGTAATAAACCTTACCCTCAAATGCATTTATATCTACAAATACAAAAACTAAAATAAAAACCAAAAGAAAAATTAAAAGAAAAAAATAGAAAAAAAATATTTTACATTAAAAAGAAAGATAAGATAGGGGACTACATTAATTTTTTAAAAACCAAAATTTATTTCGAGAGAAATGGGAAGGAAGAAAATTGGTGGAGCTATGTTTAAAAAAAAAAAACTAATTGTGACCTCATTTCTCCCCTTATTTCCTTTTATAAACGTTTATTGTGACATCCGTTTTTAGCTTTCCACCTCGAGCTCTATAGCCCTATCAATCATGTTTCGTAATTTCTGAAATAGTTATCGTTGTGCAAGACAAATTGTTTTTAATAATCATAAGTAATGTAGGTAATATTTTACTAATAAAAAGAGAGAAGGAAAAGGAAGAAATAAGAAAGGGAGAGAAGAAGAGAGAGAGAGAAGATGGAAGAAAAAGAACGGGAAAAAAAGAGAGGAGGGATGAGAGAAGGAAAAGAACGAAAACCAAAAAAAAGGGAGAGAAGAGAGAGGGAAAACAACGGAAAAAAAGAGAAGGAAAAGAATAAAAAAAGGAGGAGAGTGTAAGGAAAAGAATAAAAAATGGAGAGAGAGGAGAGTGCAAGGAAAAGAATAAAAAAAAAGGAGAGAGGAGAGAGATGAGAGTGTAAGTAATATTTTTTTAAATAAAAATTTGGGCCGGGCAAAAGGGAAGAGAGTAGAGAGAAAAGTGTGGGTAATATTTATTTAACATAAATTTGGGCCGGGCAAAAGGGAAGAGAGTAGAGAGAAAAGTGTGGGTAATATTTATTTAACATAAATTTGGGCCGGGCATGAGCC